AGTCTTCCTACCAATATGACCGAGTTGCGAAAACAAGGTCAAACAACTTCTAAAGTAACTTTAGTAAGCCGAGACGGAGGATGCATCAAAATCACGAATAGACCGACAGAGCTTTAGCTTTAGCTTGCTCTCGGGAATCGTATCCGTGACCGAAGTATCATATGGGGCATACACAATTGTTTTCTTGTACGGTGGCTTGCATGCTGGCCTGTTTTAGACTGTCTGTAGCTAACGTGCAACTTAGAACTGACCCTGATCCTATCCTTCTCGTCGGCCTTTTTGCCAGTTCATAGTCGGATTGATTGAAGGATAACGTGCACTTATGACAAGATAATACGAATGAATACTCTATTAAGCACAATTGCACACATGCACACCCACTCACGCTTGTACTCAAACTCAAACTCGAATTCACACTCACACTGGGACTCGGAATCGGAATCGGACTCGGACTCAAACTTGCACTTGATCACTCCGTCTCTGACACATGCATTAACCTGCACAAGCATATTCATGTGACCATCTAATTGGCTTTGGCCGAGAAGAGTGGGGAAAGTAGCGTTCTTGCTGAGCTGAGGTGAGAGCAGGTGAAACGAACTGAGACGGTGCATCGAATAAAGTGGGTGTGATAGAACGAGGTTTCTGGCTGGTCGAACGGCGGGACCACAGGCTTTCCGGGTGGTTTGGCGCCCGGGCGGTCGAGGGTATCTTTGACTATGAGGCTGTTAGGCTGGTTGGCAAGGCGCCTGGCAGGCAGGTTGTAATGGCGTCTGGGTGGCTGGGGTTTTGGATATTTGTGTCTTTGGGTCTAGTTGTGTCTGCGAATATGTGCGTCTGGTTGTCTGGGTGTTTGAATGGGTTTGCGGCCGAATGATATGGTCGGTGGGTGGCTAGACGTCAAGAGGGATGGGTAGCTAATAGACTGGGTGGGTGTGTGTGCGTGGCTGGGTAAGTGTGTTTTGGTGTTTGGATGGATGGATGAATATGTGTCTTGGGTTATGAGTGCCTGGGTGTGTGTGGCTTGGCCAGTGTGTTTTGGGGTTTAGCTGGATAGATAGATGGGTGAATATGTGTCTTGGTTTATGAGTGGCTGAGTGTGTGGCTGTGTCAGTGTGTTGTGGTGTTTGGATGGATGGATGGATGGATGGGTGAATATGTGTCGTTGTTTATGAGTTTCTGGGTGTCTGTGATTGTGCCAGTGTGTTTTGGTATTTTGATGGATGGATGAATGGGTGAATATGTGTCGTTTTTTATGAGTGCATGTGTGTGTGGCTGTATTTTGGTGTTTCAATGGATGGATGGATGGATGAATATTTGTCTTTATTTCTGCGTGCCCGGGTGTGTGTGGCTTGGTCAGTGTGCTTTGGTGTTTAGCTGGATGGATGGATGTATGGATGGGGGAATATGTGCCTTTGTTTATAAGTGGCTGATTGTGTGGCTGTGACGGTGTGTTGTGGTGTTTGGATGAATATGTGTCTTTGTTTGTTAGTGCCTAGATGTGTGTGGCTGTGTCAGCGTGTTTTGGTATTTTGATGGATGGATGAATATGTGTCGTTTATGAGTGCCTGTGTGTGTAGCTGTCAGCGTATTTTGGTGTTTGGATGGATGAATGGATGGGTAAATATGTGTCTTTGTTTCTGAGTGCCTGGATGTGTGTAGCTGGGTCAGTGTGTTTTTGTGTTTAGCTGGATGGATGGATGTATGGATGGGAGAATATGTGTCTTGGTTTATGAGTGTCTGAATGTGTGGCAGTGTCAGTGTGTTGTGATGATGGATAAATATGTGTCTTTGTTTCTGAGTACCTGGATGTCTGTGACTTGGTCAGTGTGTTTTGGTATTTTGATGTAAGGATGAATGGGTGAATATGTGTCGTTGTTTATGAGTGCCTGGATGCATGTGGCTGTGTCAGTGTATTTTGGTGTTTCGATGGATGGATGGATGAATGGATGGATGAATATGTTTCTTTGTTCCTGCGTGTCTGGGTGTGTGTGGATGTGTCAGTGTATTTTGGTGTTTGGATAGATGGATGGATGTATGGATGGGTGAATATGTGTCTTGGTTTCTGTGGCTGAATGTGTGTATCTGGGTCAATGTGTTTTTTTGTTTGGATGAATGGGTAGATGGATGAGTGAATTTTTTGGGATGTTTCGGTTTCTGGCTGCCTTGTTGGCTCGATGAACGAGGATTGCTTCGTACTGAAGGTTTTTCGATTCTCCTTAGAAATCTTCGGCTCACCGTCCCGTAACCCCATTCAGCCTGTGTCTGTACTGTGACAGATTTCATCAGAGTAAGAATTCACACTTTACGAGAAAAAGCAAAAATATACTAAATCAAAAGAAGTTTTCTTTTATCTTGTTTTATTATCTTTTTACTTTATTTCATAAAGTATAAATTCTTACCATACTGATGAAGGCTTAGCACAGGTTAATTGGGCTCGCAGTGCGGTGAGCCGAAGACTCTTTTGCACACTCCAACAATTTCCCATAAACGGCAATCCTCCTTCAGTTTTGGTGAGACTACCTCAATATTTTCTCCAAACCAACTTTTCCCTCGAAATAAAAATTCATGTGACAATAGATGGCTGGTTATTCTCCACTGTATGTCTGGTTGGTATGGCTGTATGAGCAAGCTAGTATAGCGATTCCACAACTTCACGCATCGATTCGACGTGTAGTAAGATGAGCCCGTAGTCGGCAACAGTAATTTATGCGCAAAACGTGAGTAGCAATTTCAAGATCTGGCGCTATCTCTAACATTTTGTACGATTTTGCGCCAATGTTTCTTGGTGTGTTCGTCTTCGTAACTTCCAATATGATCCCACCAGAAGACGACGGCTGATTCCTTGCGGGATCGACCTTTGAATCTGTTCACCAAACACTTTTACTTAAAATGGAAGTTAGCTTAACAATTATGAAACAAGCCATTCCTCGAAACCCACTTTTTTCTCATAACTTTCAGTTCCTTTGAAAATGCGGTTGAAATAGATTTTTAGTAAATTCACCTTATTCGACGACTAAGGATGATTGTCTTGCATATAAGACGACTGGAGTGTACCTCACTTCACTATCCTACGACCCGATGAATTCGTGCTGAACTCTCGTCCGTCATGTGATGGCCATCGTGGGATGCAGAAGCAATTATTTATTAAAAATTTCCTAAAATCCCTTAATCAAGAAAGGCTCCTGCTAGTTGAATCCAATTTTGTGATTTTAGTTTAGTTTTTTCTGGTGAATCTTCCATAAATGCTGACTGCCAGTTCTCACAATGTCCGTCACATAACGAACCCAAGCTCAATACGGATGAATCGGGGTCGCAGGACTGCTATCCAAGCTCTTCTTCGCGTAATTCAGCAACCAAAAGTCCATAGCAATCGTAATTCGGTGTCTCGTGAGGCTAATTTGCGAATCTGTTCCACTCGTCTTTTCAGAAGAGATGAAAGTGCCAATTTCGGCTCCATGGCTGCTACTGCAATGGCGTGGATAAGGCGAGTGGAAGTGTTTATGGTGTTAGAGCCTGTGTCTCATTCAAAGTCGCCATCTCTTGTACTCTGTCTCACTAAACTAGATAATGAAAAACTGCTAGTCATGTGGAAGT